TCTAGATGTATAGAGTGGTTTATATTATTGTGGGTAGGGCCACCTGGGTGGCTCAGTCAGTCAAGCGGCCAACTTCAGCTCAGGTCATGATCTCACGGTTCGTGGGTTCAAGCCCCGCGTCGGGCCGTGTGCTGACAGCTCAGAGCCTGGAGCCTGATTCAGATTCTGTGTCTCCCTCTCTCTCTGCCCCTCCCCAACTCACGCTCTGTCTGTCCCTGTCTCTGTCTCTTAAAAATAAATTAAAAATAAATAAATAAAATTTAAAAAATTAATTAAAACATTAAAAACAAATACAAATATACTGTGGGTATTGTGAACAGTACATGGTAGAGACTCTGTAGTCTGTTATGATTCCCAGAGAAGCGTTAATTTTTCCTTTTTAAGGTAATTAATTTGGCTGAAGTCAGACTGCAAACTGGGACTCACCTGTGTGGCAGCAGCTAGGCCAGCACAATTATTTCACTGTCCGCTAAGGCCATGGATAGACCAGGGACCGCTAGGGGTTTGTGCCACATATATACCAAGAATTTAGGGTTCCCCATCTCTGATTCCCCTTGTTGGAGGGCCCCTCTTCCCATCTGCTGTGGTTGCCTCCAAACTCTGAGCGCTGGGTCTGCAATCTCCTAGAACCACCGAGTTCTTTCCAATGTTACCTGGCCACCGGTAGCCCGCCGAGACCTGTCCTCAGGCTAAAAGCTGTTAACGAAAACCGGGAAATTTCCCAGTGCTCTTCCTCGCTCTAGACTTTCAGGGTCCTGTGTCCCCACCGCTCTGCCCAGAGATCTTGTTAGTGGCCGGAGTTCACAGGGGTTCCCTGTGGGGTGACTGCTCCCAGAGGCGCTACTTGACCGTTACTGGACGCGGAAGCTCTTGAACTTGCCACCTTTGGAAATCTTCACACGCTTCTGTCACTTCGATAAATTGAGGGCTGAGATGACCCTGCCTCCAGGACCCCTGGAGGTGCGCGCTCCCGTCTCCTCGGGCCACCTTCACTCTGGTCACGTGGTTGTCGTTGCTTTGCCCTTGAGGTTAGCAGATAGTGTGACCTTTCTTCCGTCACAGACTGCAAATCCAGCAACTGCGCTTTGGAATCGAGAGCAGAAGGTGTGTCGCTCACGAAGCCAGTGGGCTCCGGGTTCCTCATAACTGGTGGTGTTCAGTGCGTCTCTTTCCATGACTGCGGTCTCCGTAACCCTGCCCTGGAAACGTGACTCCTCCTGGAAACGTGACTCCTCCTGGGCGTTCTGTTTTGTTTTTGTTTTCAGGTTAAACAGGGCCAGTCAGACTTACTTCTTCCCTATTCATTTGACGGACCAGCTCCTTCCCAGCGCCGTGTTCTATGCCACCGTGGGGCCACTCGTGGTCTACTTCGCTCTTCACCGCCTGGTCATCAAGCCGTACCTCAGGGCTCAAAAAGAGAAGTGAGTTCAGAGCATGTCACGGGCACGTCCGTAGACAGCTCTGTGCTTCGGTTTTCCTGCCTTTTAGACGGAGATGATGATACTAGAACCTACTCAGAGGGTTGTTAGGAAAATTCCATTAACTAATCCGTGTAAAGGCCCAGCATGGTGTCCGGTCCGTAGTAAGTGCTCAGTGCAGGCTCTTCTCACGGCGGTACTGCTGCCGCGGGCCCATCGCTCCTCCTTCCTACTTCCAGGAAGGGAAACTGGTTTACAAAATTGTGCAGACTGTGCACCACCAGCACAGGAGACAGAGCCACCGGTCCCCATCTTTTCGTGGCGCTGAGTTCAGGAGGAGTGGGTTTGCATTCTTACATATAGGCGCGCGTTGACTAGAGTCTCTGAAGTTACAGAGACGTTCATCTGTTTTGCAGTTGCTTGTAGATAACCCACTGGAACATTACACCCAGTCTGAGAGGTGGTGTAGACTCGTAACTTACACCAGTCTGAGGTAGTAAGTCATTGAGCTTAGAGATTCTCCTCTGTGGGGCCCCTCTTAGCGTTTGAATCACTGGAGTTCGGGGCCCTGATTCCCCAGGAGGCTCCTCGAGCAAAGATCGTGTGGGGTCCAGTCTTCTGAGGGGACGGGTATATGCTACCCCGAGTCCCTGTGCTTTGCTGCAAGAAAGTATATTTTGTATCCAAAGCAGTAAGTATTGTCCCACCCAGAGCGTTACGTACCAGTCCAGAAGGCGGCATCCCCCGTGGCCCTCGCCTCTCTGGCCGCTCACTGTGCTGAGATTCTTGTCAGGTGGGGGCCTCTTCACACAGCAGTGGGCTTCCCGGGCGCTCCGGTGCGGAGGGCGGGCAGAGCCGTCCAGGGACGAAGGAAGGGGAAGCTGCAGAGGCCTAAAATGAACAGACTTGCCTGAGACTGTCTTGGAAATATTTTCTAAGGCTCCGGAACGAGGCGTGCAGGAAGATCTCCGACTGTTCGCTGGGCACCGGGCCAGCCAGGGGCTCTCCTGCCTCCCTCCACGCTAACATGTGCCTTGTGTTTTTCTCACTTGAGGGAGTTGGAAAAGCAAAGGGAAAGCACAGCCACTGACATTCTCCAGAAGAAACAAGAGGCGGAAGCTGCCGTAAGTGCCGTAGAGACACGAGCCGGAAGTCCTCCTGCTCCAGGGGCCTCCGGATGTCGCCGCGCTGCCGCACAGAGCAGACCGCGCTGCGGGCCCCGCTCCCTTTGCCGGCCCGCACGCCTGGGACCCGGGCTCCGGGATCACCTCACGCTCTGCGTGTGGGCCTCCAGGGCCAACGGCTTCACTGGTCATTTTAGTCTCTGTATTGCTTATGGGACGCACTGCCGGGAACTTCAGTCCCTGTCCTACAGATTAGATGCACTTACCCTCAAAAGGCATAACAAGGTTTTCTAAGAACTGGAAGGTACTGTCTTCCTTTTCTTCCCTGTACGTGAATTGTTTCTATGTGACCTCACAGAGACTCCCAGCCTAAGTGTAGGGGTACCGTCGGGTTCTCCGAGAGCAGAGGAGGGGCCGAAGCGCAGCCAGGCCCGGGACTATAGCTCTGCACAGGGACGCAGGGCCCGGGGAGAGCCCTGACGGTGGCCATCCTTGTTCTTTGCAGGTCCGGTTGATGCAAGAATCTGTCCGAAGAATAATTGAGGCGGAGGAGTCCAGAATGGGTGAGAAGGCGTGGCCTCTCTCGGGGCAGGGTGGGCGCCAGGGGTCTCGAAGGAGCACCGTGTTCTCACGGTCCGGCTGTGCGAGGGGTGCCCGGCCGAGACCTGCCTCTGCTCAGACTGAGCCCGTCCCCAGGGCTCATCATCGTCAACGCCTGGTACGGCAAATTCGTCAACGACAAGAGCAAGAAGAGTGAGAAGGTGAAGGTGATCGACGTGACTGTGCCCCTCCAGTGCCTGGTGAAGGACTCGAAGCTCATCCTCACGGAGGCCTCCAAGGTACAGCACGCGCCCACAGGGTTCGGTCAGGAAGGGCCTTTGGGGAGGGGGCACAGCCTGGCGCCTCGGAGCGGCCGTTCCATCGCAGCGGAATCCCTCGTGCTGCTGGCACTTGCTGTGTGGGGTGCGGCCCGCGCCCAGGTTCTGTTTACACTGGAGCTAATTCCTTCGTTCGTTCACGCAGCAAGCGTCTATTAGTGTTTATGGAGCACCTACCGTGTGGCAGGTAGAGCAGTGAACAAAATCTACGTCCTGCCTTCATGCCTACGTTCTGCATACCCCTTGCCTTTTTCCAGAAAGAGCGTGAGCTCTCCTGTGGCACGTTTGACACTCACCCTGGAGCCCGGGGCGGGGACAGTAAAGGCAAATTAAAATGCAATTAGCTCCGGCCAGACGGGAGAGCTAGCGTGGGACAGGGGGTCTGTGTTGAGAGGAAAGTCTAGGCCCACGTAGGCTGCTTTCTGACATCCTCGGGCACCGAAGTTTGCCTCTTGCGTGGGCGGCTCCTGAGGGAAAGTCCAGGCCCGTCCACACTGCGCCTTCAGGTGGCAGCGGACAGCCACGGTGCTGGGTTTTAAACGACCACCTCAAGTCAACTCGAGTGAGACTGTGTCTGTTACAGGCCGGGCTGCCCGGGTTCTATGACCCGTGTGTAGGTGAGGAGAAGAACCTCAAAGTGCTTTACCAGTTCCGCGGCGTCCTGCACCAGGTCATGGCGCCAGACGGCGAGGCGCTTAGGATACCAAAGCAGTGTGAGTAGCTGCGCCTTGGCCGGCGCGGGCCAGGGAGAGGCCCTCAGCCACTGATGGGGACCGGGACATCGAGGTGGATGACAGCCACCTTCCCTCTGTTATCCGCCTGGGAGCGATGACTTGTCAGAGCCCGGGACGCGCTGCCCGGCGGAGGGGTGGCGGCCCTTCCCCGGGGGGGTCTGAGTGAGCCCGTGGCCTGGCAGCTGCAGCCTGGGTGGCCGGGTAGGAAGCAAACCCGGCTGCTCCTGTGCTCCGGAACCGGTTGATTGTCGAGCGCCTTGCACGCTGCTCAGCCGGAGGCCAGGCGGCCTCTGGGCAGCGGATGGCAGAGCCCCCAGTGGAAGGAGGGCGTGGGGACAGTTGCCTTTTGATACATTCAGTTTGTCTCTTACAGCTCACAGGATTGATACAGACGGATAAACTGCTTGAGAAACGAGATTTCCAAGAGGCTGCAAAAAATCTTTTCCCGGGAGTCTACAAATTCGGAAGCAGGGAAAAAACCCAGACATCAGATGTGTTTATTTTATATTACTCCTATAGAAGGTGGTACCGTATCAATTATGTGGAGGGACACACAGACACCCCGCTTTCATGGGTGCTGTAGGTAGGACTCGGGCAGCCCCGCCTGGACCAGAGCCGCAGCGTGGCCTGTGGCTGTTTTCCCAAGGATCATGTCCCCGGAGGGAAGGGCCCTCGGCCCCCACCCCAGCCCATCCCCAGGTTCCTGAGCCCGAGGGCTGACTGCAGCCACCCAGTAGCTCTCAGTCTGTCTTGAGGTATTTATGAAATGTCCTGCCTCACACATAGGACTGTGAACTACTTTTCCTAAAATCCACAGAGCATGGAAAACAAAATGGAAAAGAAGGAAGGTGTTCTCATGAGTCTCACGAGCAGAGGCCTCCAGAACAAGTGAGCGTCTGTCCGGTCAACTTCCCCAAAACCACTTTTTCCTGCTGAAATATTATTCAGTGAATCTGGAGAGGATTGTGTGGGTTTATAAATCTGCTTTTTATCTCGGAACGAATGGTTTTGGAAATTAGTGTCTTTTTTCCCCCCTCCCAGAACTTCTCGAATCATTCCACTGGCAGGTGGCTTGGGACAGAGCGGTATAACCCCCGGTCCCAGGGTCCATCCCTGTCACAGGTCACTTCCTCCCAGGAGCCACCCGTGTCCTTGTGGAGAGAGGCAGGTGCGAGCTAAGCCATCCGCCATCCCTCTCAGCCTGCCCCCCCTCCCCGCCCCCCACGGCTCAGCCTGACCTGCCTTTGCCCCCCACACTGGAGCACCCGGAGCCGGGAGGAGAGGGGGACCCCGGGCGGAGACCCTGGCCCAGGTACCTGCCAAATCCCAAGCGCGGGGAGAGCCAGGCGGGCCTCGCTTGCTCTCTCACTCACGGCCAGCAGGTGGCGCTGCTGCTCCCACACCTCCTCACGGGGGTCCGGTGTCCGCCCCCCTGGGTCCTCTTCGGAGTGTTGACCAAGAGTCACCGCTGAGCAAAGAGGCCCCCCTGGACGGTGGTGGCCGTGACAGCCCCCTGCAGCTGTCGCTGAAGTCAGGCTTCACTCCCCAGCGCCGGTACCGGAGTAATCGCTAACACCCCTCTCCTCCAGTTTTCAAAAACAGTTCAGGTTGTCCGATTCTGTAATATTTATCTCTCTTTCAAAAAGTTTTCCTCTGAGCTGCTGCTCTGAATGTAAATCGTGCAATAAGCGTGGTGTGAAACATCAGACTTTGGGGCGCGGCCGTGCGCTCCCTCCACGGCAGGTGGCTCGTCAGGGCACCGATTCTCGCAATTTTGTTTGAAACGGACTGTACGGAAGGCGCTCTCTTATCGTAATAAATCTTTCCTGAAAACGGGATAGTGTTTTAATGCATCTTGTGTGTTCATTTTCAGGGATGGGCAAAATAAAGTGTGTCCCACCCCCCCCCCAAGGCCTCATTCCATCCTTTATTCTTTGCTATTTAAACCACATTTTTAACAGTTCTTTTTTTGTTTTGAAAGAAAGAGCCGGGGAGGGGCAGAGAGACAGCAAGAGGGAAAAATCCCACAAACCATGAGATCATGACCTGAACCAAAATCAAGAGTTGGAGGCTTAACCTGCTGAGCCACCCAGGTACCCCTTTAACTACTTTTTTAACCGTGAGGCCGAACTTGAAGCCATGATTCGGTTTTACACATTAGACATTTGCCCAAGAAACGGGAATCAGGACATCACTTAGGATCGTTTTCCCGTTTGTTGTTTTTGTTTGGTTTTGTTTTTATTAAAGTCCCCTTTTTTCATAGCCAAAGGTGGTCATGCCCTGCCCTTCCCGCGCTTCAACAGGAAACACGAAGTCAGTCTTCTCAGCAGCCACAAAGGACGGGAGGAGAGAGGGCCTCCAGCGAGCACCTCCAGATCTCTTCCCACCGCTCTGAACAGAGCCCTCCTGTGAAACCTTCCTTAAGCCACAGTGGCATAAAGCGAAGAGGCAATTACTGTTCGTTTGTATGGAAACGTTCTGAGCATTCCCAAGTCCAAAAAAACCATCCCAGGTTTTTCAGATACTTTAGGCCACATCTCACTAACGGACACATAAAATCGAGCTGAAGCACAGAGGCTCGCAGACAGCTGGGCGCTCGGCGGCTCGAAGCCGAGCTTCGCTCCCGGGGAAGGGGCCCGGCAGTGCCCGGTGCAGAACCAACACCGGTTGCTAGTTCTGCTTTTCGCCTTTTCTCTCGAGAGTGGAAATCCTCCGACCTCTTTAGGTTAGCGAAAGCAGGTACTGATGCAGGTCGACTGTGAAAGCAAACGGTGTAACCCAGGCTCTCGAGAAACAGAACTCCTACACTGGTTTTCAAGTAAAGAAGGAAAACCAGTGGCGTAGGAAGACGCTTTATTATGTCTTTCGCTCAGACTGGGCCGGGGAAGGGGGGAAGGAGGCACGCCTGATCTCGGAGGCGGGTCCCAGCCACTCCAGCCGCCGTCCTCCAGGTGACCCAGGGCCTGGGCCCAGCTGCCCCGCCAGGAAGTGCACTTCCTCCCCAGCGGGGGCGCCCCATGCAGTGGCTCTGAAGACCCCCGCCCAAGCTTTTGTCGAAAGGGAGCACCGAGCTCCTCTTGATCACGGTCCCGCCCTGTCCTGGGGCTGATGCCACTAAACTTCCCCTGAGGTGGCCCGGGCTCCTCACCAGGGCTTGACCCGGCACGCCTCACTGTCCCTTTGCCTGTCAGCGGCAGGACTGAAAGGTCCGCGGCCAGCGCCCCAGAGCCACCGTCCCACCCCCTAGAGAGGCTCCGACAGGAAAGCCTGGCCGTGCGGCTCAGCTCTGCTGCTCTGGCGGCGGCCTGGCCTGGAGTCCCAGCTGGCCCGCTCTGTGGGCGCGGAGGCGGCTGGACATCCTCTGTATCACCAGCCTCTGAGCCTTCAAGCGTTTTCGGAGCTTCTCGTTTTCCTTCAGAGTCAGGAAGAGTTTTTTTTTTAGGGCATCTAAGTCCAAAAGGGCGTAGCTGTGATCGGACGGCTGTGCGGGGCTGGCCGGCTGACCAGGCGCCCGGCTTCCCTGCGGTCTCTGCGGCGAGACCTGAGGACACAGCGCGTGAAGGCGAGGCGGGGCCCAGGGCCGAGAGCCGGGGCCGTGGCGGGCGGGGACACGGCCCAGCCTGGCCCTTGATGCCACAGCACCCCTGACGTCCCCACCTGCCCGTTCTACTCAGAGGGTCCGAGATCGGGGCCACGGGCTGTGGGGCTCCCACTTGGGCACCGGATTGCTTCGTTCTGTTTGAAGGGAGCCCCCACCCCCGTGCGGAGCCCGAGCGACCACACGCTGCCTTCGTACCCGGGCCCCGCATCTTACCTGTTCTACGGGGCCGCCGGCGTGCGGGGGCAGCGCTTCCAGGGCGGCGTCCGTCTTCCTCCCCAGGCCGCACTCCGCGGGCCCCGCCTCGGAGACCACCTAGGGACGGCAGGGCGGAAGCGGGCAGCACACCCGGGATCCCCTCACGCCGTCCCGGGGGACGGCCGCGGCCAGGGGACCGGTGCAAACAGTTAACAGCCAGCCTGCCCCTCGGGGCCTGGACTCGGACCCTCGGAAATCCGGCACGAGCCACGCCGACATGCTCGCCATGCTCGCAGTGAGACAGTAAGGAGGCCCGGGAGTCTCTGCCTCCCCTTTTCTAGGAAAACCTGGAATCCTCAACCCTGGCTTCTGCGGAGCGCGCGACACACCCCTGCAGGCCAGCCCGGGGGGCAGTGCTGCCGCGCAGTGTCCCCGTCGAGGCCGGGGTCCTGACTTGCGGGTGCCAGCACGGACTCACCTCCTCCTTCTCCGGGTCCGCATCTGCACCCCCACCGGCCGGGTCCGTGTTCTCCCTCACCAGCTGCAAGAGACAGAGCAGTGGACACAGGCCCTGGACTCTGCTCCTGGGAGGCCGAGGAGACCCCGAGAACCCCACCAGGTGCCCGGCCGCGTGCATCTGTCCCCACTGCTCAGCCCCGAGTGTTCAAACGACGCTCTGAACCCAGCCCAGCTGTCGTCACCACCTCTGTCTCTCTCTCTCCCCGAATCTTAGGTCAGAGGCCCATGGACAGGCCCCGTGAAGCCACAGACCGAATTCCTACGTGTCACCCCAGGGCCTGACATGCTAGGCGCGTGGTAGTAGGTGACTCACATTTGGCTCATTGAGTGGCAGCCACGTAGGAGACAACATCCGACTCAGGGCCTGCGGCCAGTCCCGGGGCGTCCACGGAGCCGAGCCCCCGGCCACGGGTCCAGAACCAGCTGCCCACGCTAGCTTCCGGCCCCGGGCACGGACAGCACCCAGGGGCAGGCCCACAGACGTCCCCCGGGCTTTAAACTGTAATGTCACTTCAGGGGCAAACCTTTTACCACAAACGCGTGTGAAGCTGTCAAACTCCCATCAGCGACACGCACTGACGGAGAAGGTGACTGATCAGAGGGCACAAAGTTTGGGTCAAGCAAAATGACGAAATTCTGGACTCTGCTGCACAAACATCGTGCCGTGGTTAACAGTACTCTGTTGTACATTCAAAAGTTTGTCCTTGGGGCGCCTGGGTGGCGCAGTCGGTTAAGCGTCCGACTTCAGCCAGGTCACGATCTCGCGGTCCGTGAGTTCGAGCCCCGCGTCGGGCTCTGGGCTGATGGCTCGGAGCCTGGAGCCTGTTTCCGATTCTGTGTCTCCCTCTCTCTCTGCCCCTCCCCCGTTCATGCTCTGTCTCTCTCTGTCCCAAAAATAAATAAACATTGGAAATAAAAAAAAATTTTTAAAAAAAAAAAGTTTGTCCAAGGGGCGCCTGGGTGGCCCAGTCGGTTAAGCGTCCGACTTCAGCTCAGGTCGTGATCTCATGCTTCGTGGGTTCGAGCCCCACATCGGGCTCTGTGCTGACACCTCGGAGCCTGGCACCTACTTTGGATTCTATGTCTCCCTCTCTCTCTGCACCTCCCCCTGCTTGTGCTCTCTCTCTGTC